TGGTTATGGAACTTGGTGTTTCACAAGGTCAGACCGTTGTGTTCTCAGATAGTCAAAGTGCTATCCATCTCCCAAAAAATGATACATATCATGCCAAAACCAAACACATTGATGTCAGATACCATTTTATTCGAGATGTTATAACTGCAGGAGATATAACCGTTCAGAAGATTCATACATTGGAGAATCCAGCAGATATGCTCACCAAGCCTCTACCTATCACTAAGTTCAAACAGTGCTTGAATTTAGTCGGCTGTTCTGGTTGTTAATTCTCACGATGAATTTGATCCAAGGTGGAGATTGTTAGAATGTGGCTAAAATTCATTCAAACCCATGAAGACAACATTTGTCGGCAATAATCTCCACGTTTGCACGTCCACTTCTTGCATGTTCGTCGACCATTGCGGAGCTTCTCGGAATTGCCGCATAATTCTCTCTTTTGCAATTATAAATAGATTAAGCTTTCTTTGTAATCATGCAATTCATTCTGTAAGCAATTCTTTCATTACCAATTGCTTTTCCTTCTTTTCTCACGTAGAATACATATATCTATATATTTGCTTTGTTTTATCTTCTTGAGAGATTATAAATATATATATTTTATATTTTCTCATTTTAGTTATTTATTTGTCATTTTATACAATTTTCTTCGTTTACATATTTTCCCTATTATTTAATTTCTATAATTCTCAATTTTCGATTCTTCGCTTCCGCATTATTCCGCTATATTCCTAACACTAACAAGAGTCAAAACCAAGTAGAAATGACAAAAAACGGAGTTTATAAAAAGTTGCAGCAGAGGTGACACGGCCAAGGACATGGCCATGTCCCTGGCCGTGTCCAAAATAGCAGTAGCTACTGGAATGCACAGAAAATACACGGCCACAGACACGGCCGTGCACTTGGCCGTGTCTTTTGTCCTTCAAAACGTCAGATTTTGGAATTATGGTCTTCATGAAAGTTGTATCCCTTCGAGTCTTCATTCCAATGGCGCAAGAATCACTTCATTTGGACATTCCTAGGCCAAGATATGGTCCAAAAACCAAACGGTAGTCAGTTTTGGTTTGTCAGTTTGGAACTTCAACTTCAAGGACAATTTGGACCCCTGTGGCTTCCTTTTTAGACTTTGATATATTTATAAGAATTGTAGCCCTTTGAGTCTTCTTTCCAATGGAACAAGAATCACTTCATTTCAACACTCCTAGGCTGAGATATAGTCAAAATACCGAACAGTGGTCGAAATGAGCGAAAATTGCAATGCATTGATCTTTTGCTCCTCTTTTGTTTTGGTTTGACCAAATGACCAACACCATTGAAAACACCACTCTTAGGCTCCTTTTGAAGTGTTTTAGCCATCCTCTTAGCTTCTCCTTGGCTCCCATTGACTTCTAATGCATCCAAAACGCTCCATTTGACTCCAATGTCCACCAAAATGCCTAAAAATACTCAACTTTGCTTCCAATGCTTTTCAAACCAAACTCCTTGCAAAATAACACAATTTAGTCCTAATCTCATGAAATTTGAAAGAATATATGAGCAAAATGGCCTAGTGAAAGGGGAGAAAATATAGACAATTAAGCACTTATCATATAACAACAATTGAGATCTCAATCATATACACATGGAATACTTATAAATTCATATGTTTTTTTAGATCATAAGGGAGGGGGAAACCCCAAAGAAATAAGCACTAGCTTCTTTCTCTCACAAACCGAACTCTAGAAGCTCGAGCTTTATCCTCTTGAACAAGCTCTTCAATTCCAGGTGGGGAGGAGGTTAAATCCTTCCAATGATCTCTCCGTAGCGCGCCCAAGGTATGACTTAATCTGCATAACTCTTTAATTACTATTCGACAATATTTTAAAATCATGTCACTTTCAATCAAAAAAATGTTAATTTTTACTGACTCATCAAAATCACATTAAGAAGATTTAATTTATTTCAATATGAAAATTGTTAGGACATCATTTTTATTATTGGTTATAACTATCTACAACAATATTCATATTGACCATTATTTTTATTAAATTACCAGTTGAAAATATTCATTTTGATTATATTAAAAATAATCATTTTTATTTTATATTAATTATTTAATATTTAAAAATTGTATTAACTATTTACTTATTTAATTTTCGTGTTGGACAAACCTAACTAAAAAGCTATAAGCTAGGAGCTGAAAGCTAAAAAGCTATAAGCTCGGAGCTGAAAACTGAAGAGCTGTTATGATTGAAAATGTTTAGTAAAATTAGTTTTTTTGATAAGCTGATAAATGTAAAAAGACTAAAAAGGACATCTTCATAAAATTTAAATTAGTTTGTTTACATATTAAAATTTAACATTTTATCTTTAAAAAAATTAACATTTTGAAATAAAACTATTAGCATAATCATGATCTAGCATCTCATAAGGAAGTAGCAATATTATTGCAAATCTCATAATAATAATAATAATAATAATAATAATAATAATAATAATAATAATAATAATAATAATAATAATAATAATAATAATAATAATAATAATAATAATATTTGCGGTGAAAGTTGCGGATAAAGGAGAAGAAAAAAGGGTTTTAATTGGGAATGTTAAATTATGTCATTTCTTTAAAATAATAAGAATAAAGATGAAAAAAAAGTTAGGAAGTTATGAGCTTATTTTATGAACATTACCAAATAGAGTTTATACCTTATTAGTAGCTTAAAATAAGTTATAAGCTCATAAATAAGTTCTACCAAACAGAGCATAGTGGTTCAATTAGCCTAGTAACTCAAACGTTGAGCCCAACTTTTAAACTTCATAACAACTTTTTGCTCTTGATTAGTTGGATATTCATGGAACAATTTATATATATAGGTCTACAACAAATGAACTAGTTGGCAAATTATTGTGTGGTCCACACAATGCTATGTTGATCATAATAAAAAGTACATTTTTAATATATTAAAAGTACATTATTTGTATATTAAATATACATGATATAAAATAATGTACTTTTAGTACTTAAATAATGTACTTTTTGTGAATACAAAATACATTTTTAATATACAAAAAGTACATTATTATTTATATATTGAATGTACATTATTTGATAGTATGGGCCACGCAATAATAATTGGAACAAGTCGACATAATAAGCATGCAATACACTTTAGGCCGTCTTATATTTCATTTAATTTACTACTTGCACTAGTTTGTATTAATGACTTTGTTTGACACACATAGCTTAAAAGCTTATTAGAATTAAAGCGAAAGTCGAAAAGCTAGTAGCTAATAAGAACTAGGATATTAAGATTTTGATATTTCATTGGTGCTTTTTTTTTTTTGAAACTCTCATAATTCTTTATAAGTTTTCTCAATTAATCTTTTCCCTAGGGGATCGAACCCCGTGCCTCTTGCATGCAAACAAACACTCTATCATTTGAGCTACATCCCCTATTAACACTTTTGTAGTTAAAATGCAATCTATACCCACCACGCTTCCGATGCGCCACTCTGATCTTTATTTTTGTGTCTACTATTAACTTATTTATCCTTTATCTCTTCAAGTCTTTTTCCCATCAATAAAGATGACTATGCAGGACTTCAAACTGGAAATGCAGGGGATCAAACCCTGTGCCTCTTGCATGCAAACAAACACTCTATCATTTGAGCTACATCCCCTATTAATACTTTTGTAGTTAAAATGCAATCTATACCCACCAAACTTTCGCTGCGCCACTCTGATCTTGATTTTTGTGTCTTTTTTTTGAAAGGTGGCCAATGAGGCATATATTAAAAGTACTCAGAAATAGAGTCTGGAGGGACATCGTCCGAATACATAACTGTAGAAGAATTAAAAGTAGAAGCTGCTAAACTATGAGCTAAATAATTCTCTGATCTAGGAATAAAATTAACTGAGCAGTAATTAAAAGAAATAATACGTGCTCTACAAGCATCAATGGCATAGCCTACGTAGGTTCGTACTGTGACAGCTTGATTTGTCAAATATTGTTGTAGGGTCAAACAATCTGTAAGTAAGCGTACTGAGCGTTCCCCGCGATTCCATAGCCAAGACAAGGCTTCCTTGCATGCTATTGCCTCAGCCATAAGCGGTGAGAGACAATTTGATAAGGGTGCACTGAATGCCGATACATATTCCCCTTCCTCGGTGAACAAAACCGTGCCAACCGTAGCCTTTCCTGTAGCAGCCATAAATCCGGCATCGACATAGCATTTGCGTTATCGGTTCGGCAGCTTCCAATCGTAATTCCTCCTCGGTAATCACATGGGTGTCGGCAGCGCCTTGTTGCTGCTGCTGCCGTGTCACGGCAGTGGCGGTAATAGGGCCTTGCACGGCAGCCTGGTGGCTCACTTGGCAGAGGGTGGGGTGGACCCGTTGCCATGCAAGTGTGGTAGCTTCGGCCAAGGCTAACACTTTTTGTGGTCGCGGTAGACATGCATCCCATACCGCTCCGTTTCTGGCTCTCCAAATATGGTATAAAATTGCAGCTGCGTGAACAATTTGGTTAGTGTCTAAAATATTCAATAGATCACTAAACCAAGTATGAAAAATATTTGTTGTTATCATGGGGATTGGAAGGTGAGATTGAGCCCAAATGGATCTTGCATAATCACATGTTACTAAAGCATGCATTGTGTCTTCATCCATTATCCCACACATAGCACATGTTGGTTGTACTTCCACTCTCTTTATAATCAAGTTTGTTGTAGTAGGGAGGATACCACTCAAAGCTTTCCACAGGAATTTTTTCCATTTGGGGGGACTTTTAGCTTCCATAGGCGCAACCAATTATGAGTGCCTGTATTATCAATGAGACTACCCACAATTGTTTTATAGCCACTCTTAACAGTATAACTACCTCCCTGATCATCATGCCAATACCACATATCTTCATAATCCGATGATACTGGATCTTTTTTATCCTAGCCACATCCGTAGGATTAAAAATATCTGCCAATATATCCGGATCCCAGGTCTGTGTCTCATTATCAATTAATCACACCACTGCTGCATTATTCAAATACGGAGGCTTTTCAGTATGAATCATTGGGTCTTGTTCATCCTGCAGCCATGGGTGATCCCAGATGAGGGTTGTCTTTCCATTTTCAATTCTGCGCCTGATTCCGCCACAAATCATGCTCTGAGCTGCCATTATACTGCGCCAACAGAAACTGGGGTTATTCCCTACTTTGGCATCATAAAAGGTCCCTTTTGGGTAATATCTCGCTCTGTAAGCTCGTGAGACCAATGAGTCAGGTTTTGTTAGAAACCGCCACGCCTGTTTACCCAGCATTGCTATATTAAATGCATGTAGTTCTTTGAAACCCAGGCCACCATATTTCTTTGGTATACACAATTTGTCCCAAGCCTTCCAATGGATTCCACGTTCATTCCCAGACCCCCACCAATATCGATTCATAACTCGCTCAATAGCTGTGCAAACCCCCATAGGTAATAAAAAGACACTCATTGCGAAAGTGGGCATTGCCTGAGCCACACTTTTCAACAAGACTTCCTTACCAGCTTGCGATAACAACTTCTTATTCCAAGAAAGGATTCTCTGTCTTATCTTATCTTCAATATACGAAAAAGCCGCCTTCTTATTCCTTCCTACAAATGAGGGGAGACCCAAATATTTCCCAAAGTTTGGTGATTGAGTAACCCCAAGTATCTGTGCCACTTCATTCCTATCATCATCTTGTGTATTCTTACTGTAGCATATGCTGGACTTATGATAATTTACCACTTGGCCAGATAAATTTTCATACCGTGCCAAACACTGCTTTACCGCATTTGCTTCCTGCACATTTGCTTTAAAGAATAAAAGACTGTCATCAACAAAAAACATGTGTGAAATAGAGGGTGCACCCCTTGCAACTCTGCACCCGTGAATTGCTCCTTGTACCTGTGCCTGCTGTAACAACAAAGAGAGTCCCTCCACACAGATAATAAACATATATGGCGACAACGGGTCTCCTTGCCTGAGTCCGCGAGACGGGACAATTGGCAAACCTCGGATTCCATTCAGTTTAATATTATAAGACACAGTAGTCACACATAACATAATAAGATCCACCCATATATTATTAAAACCCAATGCTGTTAACATATTTCGCAGGAAGGGTCATTCCATACGGTCATATGCTTTTGCCATATCCAGCTTTAAAGCACCCCATCCCATCCTTCCACATTGTTTTCTATTCAAAAAGTGGCCAACCTCTGCAGCAATCAAAATATTATCTGTAATCAATCTGTCAGGTATGAATGCACTCTGTTTATCAAAAATAATATCATCCATGAGTGGTTTCATCCTGGCTGAAATCATCTTAGCCATGACCCTATATATCACATTGCTTAGCGCTATAGGTCTGAGATCCGAGACCCGTTCTGGATTTTTCTTCTTTGGTATTAGAACCACATCAGTATCATTTAAGTTGGCTGGAAAGGTCCGTGTATTCAAACAGTTCACAATAAAATCCGATACATCACCTCCCACCACATCCCAGAATTGCTGATAAAAACCCGGATTCATTCCATCCGGACCAGGCGCCTTATCCGAAAACATAGCAAACAGGGCCGTTTTTACCTCATCTTTTTCAAAGGGGCGCAATAAGGCTTCGTTCTGTGTGTGTGTCACCCGGGGCAAGATATTGGCATAAAAACTTTCATCCATCTGGGACGGATTTGACGAGAAAATATTCCGATAATAATAAAAAATAGTTGTTCTCATGGCATCTCCTTCCACCCAATCCCCATCATCATTCATAATTTTAGAAATTGTGCTTTTCTTTTTACGGTGAGAGGCATACTTGTGGTAGAATTTTATATTCGCGTCTGCCCCCTTCAGCCAGTGTTGTTTCGCCCTCTGTCTCCAAAAAGCATCCTCCTGAGCTTCTAATTGGGCCAGGCGTTCCTCCAATCGCTGATATTCAGCCAATGAGTTTTGGTCTGTGCATCCCCGTAGTCGCAACTGTTCTTTACGTAGGCACCTCATTTGCTCCTCAAATTTATGAAATTTATCACCTCCCCATCGTGATAATTTATTGCCACATAACTCGATACAGGCTTGTACACCTCTATCTCTTCCTTCAGTCCATGTCGTCTCAACCACTCCCCTACAGCCTTCATCATGAAGCCAAGCCATCTCAAAATGGAACCCTTTTCTCCCACCACCTGTCCTTTCCCGAAGATTCAAAATCCCAAGGAAAAGTGCAGAATGATCTGAGCGTCGGGTTAGAATGTTTAAAACGCTTGCCTCTCTCACCACATCTCGCCATTCCTGCGTGACCAGCACCTTGTCCAATCTCTCCTCAATCCAGTCTACAGTCCCCTCCCCTCTTTCCCAGGTAAACGGGTACCCCTGCATAGGCAATTGAGCAAGTCCACACTCATCAATAGTTTGCCCGAAGCCACGTAATAATGTCTCTGGATGGGGATTCCCTCCTCGCTTCTCGTACTGATATAAAAGATCATTAAAATCTCCTATAATAACCCATGGCAACTCAGATCGATGCGATAAGGACTTGATGAAATCCCAAGAGTCATTCCGCCTTTCCCTTTGCGCAAAACCGTAATACCCCGTCATTCTCCATTTATCAAATCCTGGCATTGTTACCTCAACATCCACATGATTCTTAGAGTAACTCAACAGGCTTGCCGTACCATTCGTTCTCCACAATAATGCCAATCCTCCTTTCGTTCCTACACTATCAACTTTAAACACTCCATCAAAACCAAGTTTCACCCGGAGCCGCTCTGTGTGATCCTGGCCAACCATGGTTTCCATCAGAAATACAAAATCGGGTTTCTTACTGGACACCATGTCCACAATCTCTCGAACTGTTCGTGGATTACCCAAGCCACGACAGTTCCAGCTCAACGTACTCATGATGCTGGGTGGGTCTGGGAACCAGCACCCGCCATAAACAAGTTTTTTGAGAGATCAGTCATCAACACATCACTACCCTCCCTTCTCAACACACCTCCCTCCCCATCCCTCCGCCGTTTGGCTGCAGCTGTCACCGTACCCACCACCTCTCGGTCCGGCACACTCACCCCTCGGCCCACCTCCCTTATACCGCCCTCTCCCTCCATTCCCTTCCCCTCCGCCGGCACCAACCACCCCTCACCAACAGCCCTCGGCCCTCTTCTCAAACCCGCCCTCAACTCTGCTGAAAACGGATATTGCTCCACTGGGATAGTAGCATTCCATGCATGAATACAAAATTTGTATAAATGCCCCAAGAGCCCACAATAGAAGCAAAAATTGTGCAAACGCTCATACTTAAACGAGACCCAGCATGTAGACTTATCTCGTTTCACAAAATTCATGCGCCTCTTAATCGGTTTGTCCACAGGGATAGCCACCCGAATTCGATAGAAAGCCTTCCATGGCACATTCAGAAATCGGTCATCAAACTTAACAAAACCGCCAAGATAATTACCAACCTGCTCCAATATTTTTTCTGATGTATGTCCCATTGGTAACCCATGCACCTGCACCCACATATCAACCGTATCCAGT